CACGGACGAACCAGATCTCACGCGTACGGACGACCCAAATTCAATCAGATACGGACGACCCAGATCGCGTCGCGATGGACGACCCAGATTTAATCTCAAATAAATCTCGATCGGACGGTCCAGATTAAAACTTGATGGACGGTTGAGATTAAAAGGGAAAGGGTATAAATAACCCCACCCACACCTGACCACAAACCCTAGCCGCTAGTGCCTCGAAGGAGAAGAAGAACCAGACACCGGAGGAGCCGGCCGCCGCCACCTGCCGCCGCACCGGAGAATTTTCCGACCGCCAATTGAGGTAAATTTTCTCCCCCTGTCTCGTTTTTCGATGCTGAATCTGTCTATGGCCAAACCAGAGCCAAACCACTGGCCAATCAGCCGAAAAACCCCGCCGAAGTCCAGCGGCGCCACCGCGGCTTCCCCCTGTTTTTGCCTCCGATGAGGCCCTTCTCGGTATCCGTTCGATGTAATTTTTATACCACTGTGATCATCGTCATTTTCCCTACAGGTTGACCGGAGCAAAACATCAAAACGTGACTCGCGCCGGAGGAGCTGTCGCACCTGAGAGCACCGCTGCCAGTAAGTCTTAGTTTTTCGTGATTTTTTGGCCCACCGAGGGCCCTAGGGTTGTTTTATTGCAGGGATCGATGTAAGTTTGGCCGAATTTGGCCGAAAACAGGTGAAAACGGCCAACCCGAGGCGGATCGCCGCCGTAGGCGGCGGCACCGTTGCCGGAGCACGGCAGAGCCGCCGTGCCAGAATTTTGATATTGGTTGAAAGGGGCCCTAGGTCTGATTTGAGATTTTTTGGGACACGTGCAGGTACCGGTAGTGCGTTTCAGTTTCCCGGTAAAAATTCAGAAAATTTAGGGACAGCTCGTAGGCGCACCGTAGAGCCGATTTCAGACCCCGAAACAAGTAAGGATCTCTCACCCTACCTCCTATCACGGCATTAAAGCTTAATAAATAATTAAACGGTATTTTGTGACTTTATAGATATGTATAATTGATTGAGGTTACCAATGGAGCTCGAATCTGATACATTGTTGGTCAGTTGTTATTTGATCTATTTTTCAGTATTAAATGCAGTATGATATTTGATGTATTTATTTTATGGTCTCGTATGCATGAATCATGATTTTTTTTATTATGGTTTGTATTATAGTGAACCCGATACTGTGTTGTCTTATTTGGTGTCAATTACTAGTTTACATGTTTGTGTATGATTGGATGATTGAGACCAAGAAAAATGGCAAAAAGGTTATGTGAATTGATAAATGGATAATGTGGACAGCCTGACTAGATATCCTAGGAGATGGTGGACGGACCGGGTTCGTAGGGAACCCTACCGGGAACGTGGTCTCTCATACCGGACGGAGTATGGAGACCTTATGTGTTTTGGCGCCCATACCGGATGGGTTATGGGGACGGTCCGTTTCACCCTCATACCAGACGGGATATTGAGGTTTATGGTTTTGGCGCCCATACCGGACGGGGTATGGGGACAGCCCTGGAATCAGGTTATTAATGTTAATGGTTCACGTGTAACGGGGACCCCCTATGGATCCCCATGGATACTAGTAGGCTGGTAAAAGAGGAAATTTATTGTCTAATTATTGAAGTGCAAAAGTATGACATGTGTTCTGTTACAAAGTCGATATGATTTTATGATGGTTATAATGTTATTATTTTCATATGTTATTTTCGTGAATCTCACAGAGGTAAGTGGACAGTAAAGGTTTTTATGTTAATGAATGAGTTTATTATAAATGATGCTCCATTGGTCGTTTTTGTTTTCTACTAACCTTTACTTATATGACAGTGAGATAGTGTGATGTCTTTACTGGGTTAGTGTAGCTCATTCCTTACTTAACCATTTCAGATCAAGAAGACGGGGTTCCCGAGCTCGTTCCGCAGGAAGACGACGAGTTAGGCACCTAAAGACTTTATAGTTCTATTTATAGTATTTATTTCGAGTAATCTCTTTTAATTAGCTTATTCTTTCATGTTTTGAGTACGTTTTTAGTTATTGTGCAAGGGATGTTAATCAAAATTTTTATTATGGTTCCGCATTTAAGATTTTTAATACATACATCTTCATTTAAATTTCAGGGCCGTTACATATATATATATATGTTGATATATACGAAGCTATAAGATATATATGTATGTTGGTATGAGTGTAAATAGTCATACGCATTAAATCCATATGTGTACAGGTGTAAAATAATGTAGGTAGTTACGTAGATGTATAAACCGCTTATATGCATATTTGAAGTGGAAATATAGATATATGTATTTTGTATGGGTATAAGTGGTTTATGTATGTTAAATCATAATTAGATGAAATATGTATATTATAAGAAGTATATGTATATATATATATATGTAATTAGAATAGGTTTATGGTTAAATATAATGGTACCAAGAAAAATTTAAGTAAACAATGTGTGTAGATATGTATTACGGTTGCTTCTTGCTTCTGTAGTACATTGGGTGTATGTTTAATATAATGTAAACTGTATATGTTAGACATATATGTATGCATGTGATTGCTTGCTCAAGTGATTTTATGTGTGTGTTTGATATACACATAAGTTCGTTGTTATGTATACTCGTTATGGGTGAAATGAGTGCACATCTCAGTTGTGTAAATAGCTGTGTGAGAGTGATGAGATTGGTTATTGGCAGTGTGAGTAAGAATATAAATTAATACCATTGTTGAATGTGAATTTTCCTTCAAAAATATAAATATAATATTTTGGTAGAAAAAGAATAAAATATCAAGAATATTTGAGTTTTTGAAATTAGGATATGAAATAGAAATAAACTTTAAAGAAGAAAAAGCTTATCAGGTATTATGGGAGCGAGTATACCGACTTGGTACATAGGGTTCAATGTGAGTGTATTCTTAATCGTACAGGAATGAGAAATCTCATACTCGACGGAGTTAAATATTATTTTAATTACGCTCATATCTGACGGGATATTGAGACAATTTATAATTATGACACTCGTTACTGAATAGAGTATAGAGACGACTGGTGAACTGTAAAGAAAAGTTTATATATCCGCGTGTAGTGGGGATCCCTATGGGCCTCCAGTGATACCAGTAAGGAAAATGAGCCTCCAGTGATACCAATAAGAAAAATGATAATATGTGATGAAAGTGGAAATAATAAGCAACCCTAGTTTCGAATGAAATGGTAAGGAACCCAAATGTTATATTTATTGAGATGCTTATTAATTGTACTTTCTACAGTGTTTCTAACGGTTTCTTAATGTTGTATATATGGATGATTACTAATAAGAGAAAGGAATAAAGATCTTTTTCAGAAAAATGAAAAAGGGATGATGATATGAGTGTTCAACTTTAGATTTTACTTGATAAAATTTGCATTGGTTATATCAAACCTGTATGAATATGTATTTGCATATCTCTACTTTGAATACTACTTTATTCTTACTAAGTCCGTGAAAGTCATTTTAATTCACACCTCAATTCACATCTCTTAGTACAAATTAGTTTAAGTCATGAGGGAGTTCAAGATTAAAAGAAGAGTTCGAATAATATTTTAACTACCTTAGATATTTATTGTAAAGTAGATATGAATATATTATTATAATGTAATTTCAAAAAATTATTATGAATTTTATATATTGTGATTCCGTATAAAATATGTATTATTGATCAATGTAATATTGTGCAAAATTTATTAGGTTTATATATGAGTTAACGTTCATATTTCTCTAGAAAAATCGAGTTGTTATAGCTTTAGCAGGTTATCACGATCAATGTTATTGAAATTTCTTGGCTTGAACATATGTCAGAAAATTTTAGTTTTCTTGACTTTTGCCTCTCTTTCTTATAAATATATATATATATATATATATATGCGGGGAGAGAGAGAAGGAAAAAGTGGGTTGGTCTCAACGGAGTCAGACCCACATAGTTTTGGCTTTCAATGTACAAAATACTCAAAATAATAAAACTATATATATATATGTATATACATGTACGGATATTTCATCAACAAAAATATATTGTGTTTATATATATGTATATATATATATTCAAGGGTAGTACGATGCATTTAACTGATTAACGCG